GCTCCTCAAAATCAAACGTGTGGCTTTACTGTGGTTTCCCTTTCAAGCGAACCCCAAAAAAGGCACCCTCGAAGAAGATCAGAGTCAACACCTGCGGCAAACCAAAATAAAGGCAAAGGCAATCGCAGTTCTTCTCTTAAGCAGGTCCACCTACCCCGCCATTATTTCATCAAAAGAACAAAGGCCATGAAACGTCGATGTAAGGGCGGCCAGACTGTGGATGAACAAAATTGTGCACCACCCAAGAAACCGTGGAATGGTGTGGGTGGTGCGGCCAGCACCTTCTGAAAGGACCACAGCCGCGTGATTAACTTTAATAGATTGGCAAAATCGTTGTCTACTATGTTGGACTCAGGGTGGGCGTCCCGAAAATGGGCTTTTGAACTTCGTTCTGATGGTTCATTGGTGCGCCTTTGTTCGGGAGAAGGCTAGAATTGCCACCTTCTGTCTCCAAATCTGCTGCGCACAGCCGGCCGGCCGAATTCCCGGCCGAATTCCCGGCCTGCAGCATCCAGGTAGCTGAAGATCAGTCCAACACCCAGGAAAAAGAGAAAGCAGTTGTAAAGGAACTTCACACTCAGCAGCTGCTCCCTCGGTTGAGAAAACCACGCCTTCCCACACGGATTCAATCGGCAAATAGCCTCACTGATAGCGCATGCTACTTCTGGTAACGAAGCGCAACTGAATTTGTGACGACTACTTGAAGGGTGCGAAACCCCCAACCCCCCCCCCCCAGGCACAAGACTCTAAGGCCAACAAATCACCTGGTGCCCAGCAGCTTGAACCCACATTTTTGCCGATGCTGTGTATTCCTAGGGACAAATCTGCGACAAGTGACAGATGTTGAGGATAGCTCGCAGCTGGTGGTTGAGATTTCAGTTGAGACGAGGCAAGAAACCCACAGAGTCCCTGTGAAAACGGCATCTGTCAAGCCGAAAAGCCAAAAAGTCCAACCCCATAAGTTGCTGCCTGCACCCTGGAGCTCAGCATCCTTCACTTCGGCTCTGAGCGGAGCGGGGGCTGAACTGATGTCCAGGGGGCCATGCCCCGCTCCGCACCCATAGGTCCCCCCCCCCCCCCAACACTTGCGCATGGTCCACTGCTCAAGATCTATTTGTTTATGTCCCCCTGTTGATTCTACAGGCAATCTACCACTACTGGAGTTCTTCCTGCTTTGAAAAAATGCTGAGCCTTGGCAGGGCGCTTCAGGCTCGGCTGAGTGGACTCGCAGAGGGTGGACTTTTGCCGGTGCAGGATCCGGCTGTTCTCCCAAAAGGCGCAGACCATGAGCACCCCGCAGCCCACAGTGCAGCCCAGCATGTAGCAGTAGTAGGCGTGCACGAAGTTGTGGAAGTGAGCCTGCCCCACCACCCCACCACCCCACCTCCCACGCCTTTGAGCGCCCAGCCCCGGCTCGACTTTTCTTTGCTTCCAGTACTTGAAGCAAAAGGTCGGTGCCCTTTGTCTGCTCACTTTGAGGGGATGGAATCAAGTCTTGCAAGAAGCGGCTTGCGAATCAAACAAACAAACAGAAAAACATCCGCGCCGCCGAACGCCGAACCTCCACAGGTCCAAGTCAAGCTGCGAAGGTCCAAGTCTTGTGCTGTCGGGGTTTCCGTGGCTTTGACCAAACGATCGGTTCGAACTCCGGCCTTGAGCTGCACAAAAATGGCCGACTGGATGGTGGCCCCCAGGGAGGTGCTCACCTGGCGACGAACCAAAAATCGTGCGGTGTCTTTTTTTTGGCGGGCGCCCCCGTTTTTCACCTTGGAAACAAAAAAGATGTGTATATATATATATATATATGTTTAAAAAAAAGGCACCATGTCTTGGGTCCTTGATTTCAGCCGGCTGAACCTCTCCGCACATGTGCCTGAAGAATATGAACATCAGATCAGCACCAGGCGCAAAGAAACCACCGAGAATTTCAAGACCTCCCAAGGATCGAAAACCAAACACCGAACCGAGGCCACAAAACTACGGACTAAAACCAACAATTGCCCCGCAAAACCAAAGAAAGACAGACCCAAATACCGCTTCACCACGGGTTCACCACGGGTTCACCGCCGGTTCACCACGGGTTCCACCGCTTCCACCGGCATTCGGCCGCAAGGCCTGCACGATGGCGGACACGGCCCCGAGGTACTGCACCGGGAAGGCCTCCAGCGGCGCGAAGGTGGCGATGACCTGGAAGAAGGCCATGGCCATGCCGAAGCACAGGTAGCACAGCTTCAGGACTGGCACACGCGGCCCTTCTTTTTTCTGGCTAGATAAGCAACCCAAAAAGAAGATGGACAAGCGAGGGGAAAAAAAAGAAGCTCACTTGGGTTGATCTCCAAATTGAAGGTGGACGAATCCTTGAAATGCGTCTTTGCAAGTTTGAAAGCCTTGGATGCTCGCTTGGGTCGGCCTCAAACTAGGATATGCAAGCCCAAGAATTCAGATCTTTGAGGTGAAACTCGCTCGGGTCTCTCTCCAAATAGGATTGTAGCTTTTCCGTGGCTTGCCGGTAAAACTACCCAAAATGGGCTGCCAAAAGGAAACACGCCCACTTGTACAAGTGTGTCATTGGTACCCATGCAGGAACACGAGTGTCGAGTCAGACATCTGGCTTCGCTGTCCAAGTTGTTTGCTTTTCGTCTGCGCAGCTGTCTGCTTGATGCTTTGCGGGGTGCCGTGATATAAGGTGCTTGGGACGCCTCAAACAGGACCTCAAACAGTGAGCAAAGTGGGGTGACTTGGTGTGGCTCGCACGCAACACTCCCCTTTTAGTGAAGATGGGCCCGGAATTGGCCTCTGCCTCTGTCTGGCACGCAAAGCCCATAAGCAACGCGATCCGCCCTTCCCGCTCCTAGCAGCGTATGCTCGGACCCGAAGATTTGGCTCTGGAACAGCAGCACCACGCAAGGGAGAGTGCCTCAGTGATGGTTCGTGGCATATCAAATGAGTGAAAGTCCCGTACCCCAGTTGAAGATCCCAATCGCTACTAAAATAGACTAAAATGGGTGGTGCACCTACCCCAAGATGGTAACATTGGTTTTGACCCACAGCCATCTCGCCAAGAAACCCACGAAGGTGCCGATTACCATGGACTTGGCCGCGCCCATCTTGTCGTACAAGATCCCCGGCACGAAGCTCAGGGCGCAGGCGCCCATGTTCAGCATGTCCTCTCGGTCTGGTGGGGTCTGTCCCTTTTTTGCGGTTGGACCCACCCAGCAAACGGCAGTGTCTCTTTTTGGCTTCCGATTTGCACTGTGGACCCTCAATACACACTGCACATGGTTGACTTCCTTCACGTCTTCCAAAAGGCGAGACCCCACCTTGGAACTCCCCCCTGGCGCGCCCCAAAAGAAATGCCCTGAGCCAAGGCACGAAGAGCTCACCGGCCGCCCCAGAGCTGAGGCCATAGTAGGGCTCCATGTCGTCCACGATGACGGCGAAGACGTAGACCACGCCGTACCTGGCGAGCCACGATCGAGCCACGTGCCACCCGGCGATCGGCCGTTCGCTGCAAATGTTCTCTCGCCTCCCACGCCCCGTCCCGCTCCAAAAATGGCTGAGGGCACTGCACCACGCCCATCAAACAGGCCATGAGCAGGGTCCCTGGACAGCACTGCCACAGAATCAAAAGGCAACAAAGCCAAACACGCCAGCCGTGGGTGTGTCTCGAAATAGTTTTGTCCTGACCACACAGAAGAACAAAAATCAAGGGGCACCCTGATGGTGGCAAGACCTAAAGTTTACATGATAGTCTCAGTCAGCAGAGGCTGTGGCACAATGGCAGCGCACCCCAAGTTGTCGTGGGGAGGTTGCCGGTTCAAGTCCGGCCAGCCTCAACCTTCAAGATCCATCGGCACCACATGACTGCATTCCAACCTTCCAACCCTTCTTCTTCTTACCTGGAATGCCCCACCAGTGCCAGAACAAGAAGAGGTGAGATTGCAGGTGGGGCAGACACTTCTCTTCATGCTGCCATTCACAACATCCATGGGCCCGTTTCAGAAATGAGCGCCTTCACTGCCCTTTGACCTGTCGAAATAGCGAGAGAACAAGTGAGCCTTGGCCCAAAGCAACTGGAATCTGCACTTTGGCAGCCGCCAAACACTCAGCCTCCCACCCAAAATGTTCTTCTATGCCAGTGCCCCAAACTCGGCATGTCACCGCTTCGATCTTACCCTCAAAAGCTCTCCGAACCCCATTTCACGCCCTCGCCTCGATGCACGGCATTCTCGGGCAGGCCCAGGTGCTTGCTCAGGGATTGTTTCAGCAGCGGGCGCTGCAATCGCTCGTTCAGCGCCATGGCCAAGGCAGGCTGCGGCTCCCGCCGACCGAGAAGTTTTGGGCGACTAGACCAGCGCACTCGGGAGGGTATGGAGTGGTTTGAGGCGCTGTTGTGGCTGAATCTGCGGACCTTCCTGCGCTCGTGGTCCACATCTCTGCAGATCTCACTCATGCCCTCAGCTTGAGTGGCAGTGAAAATCCTGAGTCCCTGAATGCGCTTTCTTGTTGCGGCTGACAAACTGGATTGATGCATATGGCTTTGTTGCTGCTCCCTCAATCAACAAAAAACCTTTTTTGCTGTTTTCCACCTCCCCACAACTGCACCTTGCCAAACGCTCGGCCTGGAAAAGGTAAAGAGCCTGGGCCAGCCCCCACCTATGACACGCATTCTGTGAGCAGCCAAGCATGACACTGGCACACAGTAGCCATCCTCGGGGCATGAACCCAGATCCAACAAAACCCAAGCTATGGGTCTTGTCAAAGGAAACTGAACATTTTCAGGAGCGATCTGCTTCAAAGGGGAATGAGTCAACCATGTGCAGTCAATCCCTTGACATGTTCCCATCAAACAAAATCTTTACAACAACAAAAACACGGAAGGTTGCGTTGTCATTTTTTGAGAAGATCCTTTTCAGCTGGGTCTAAAGAGAGGGAGGCCAAACGGAAAGCCACCCCATGCAAAAGGCTGCGTCCACCCGTGCCGGAGCCAAGGCTCCGACGCCCCGGGCCGTAGTAGATGCGGCCCAAAGTGCACAAGCCTGCCATCGATTCGATGGTTCCATGGAGATCGAAACCGTTCCACTTTTCAACAGTCTGTGTATCCCAAACCAAGCATGGGGAATCCTTTTCGTCTCCATCCATGGTTTTTCTACCAACCTCTACTGGGTGCCAGGGGAGTAGCGTAATACACAACACAATGTAGTCTCTGTATGACGGGTATACATATATATATATATGTATATATACATATACATCTATATATATATATATATATATATATATATATATATATATATATATATATATATATATATATATATTGATCTACCCGTCTTTTATTTTTCAAATTCAACCTTGGGTGACTTGAGGGGAACCAAATACAGTCAAATTCAGAAGCTAGTCAAACTTTAGGAACCTTTTTCGAGACTTCGGTCACAATGCCGCCTTTGCGGATCCAGAAACGGGGTCCATAGGCAACTCCTGTTGTTAGGCTTTGCCAACATGTGGGCTCTCAAGCAAGGATCCCCTAAAATGGCAACTGGTGCTCGCTAGGGAAGGAGGGAATGACCCTGGGGATTCCCTCAAAGGAAACCATAAGAGATGGTCAAAAAGTGGTGATTCCCTCATTCCTTGCTGAGCGAAACCATCACAAACATTTTATGTCTCCGATGCGAGGCCCACCTCCGGCGGAGTTCTTCTGCCCGGGGTAACCGAAGCCTTCGATGATCTCCTGGCAAAAATAAACAAAAACAACGCAAGATCCGCGAGAGTCCCAAGCCCACAGAGGAGAACAAAATTACAAACTACTAGTGCAAGTGACCACTTATACTGACTGTAAGTCACAAGTACCAACTAAAGCGAGCAATACTGTGACCAATGCTGACTATTGGTGACCTTTGCTGACTACAGGTGACTGATACTGACTATTAGTGACCAATACTGACTACAAGTGACTAATACTGACTATCAGTGACTAATACTGACTATCAGTGAGGAATACTGACTACAAGCAACTATACTGACTAAACGAATACTATTAATGACTAGTAATACCGACTATTCGTGACTAATACTGACCATTAGTGACAAAGACTGACTATTAGTGGCTAATGCCGACTACTTGTGACTATTGGCAACTAATGCTGACTCTGAAAGTGACTAATACTAGCAGTGACAAATACAGACTATGAATCACTGATACTGACTACTAGTCAATAATACTAACTATTCGTAACTAACACTGACTACGCGTGACCAATACTGACTATCAGCGACTGATACTGACTACCAGTGCCTAAATCTGACTACAAGCGACTCATTCGGACTAAAGTAACTATTACTGACTATCAGTGACAATTACTGACTCTTAATGACGCATACAGACTACTACTGACTAATACTGACTAGTTGTGACTGATACTGACTATTAGTTGCAAATGCTGAATACGAGTGGCTAATACTGACTATTATTGACTATTGCTGACTATCAACGACTAGTACTGACTACAAGCGATGAATGCTGACTTGTTGGTGACTTATACTGACTTTTTGGTGACTAATACCATTTTTTTGGTGACTACCACCGATTACTAGTGACAAATGATGACTATCAGGTGACTAGTACTGACTATCAGCGACTGCTTGGTGACTGTTACAAGTCAAGGACTATGAAGGGCCATTACCTCCGGCTTTGGCTCAGGATCCCTGTCTCGTCCTTGTACTTCGGAGGGTTGGTCATGTTCTCCTGCGGACTGACCCCGTGAAGGATTTCTCCAAAATGACGCCCCTCTCGATTCAAGCGGAATGCGCGATAGGCTGAACCCACCAACAGCGTGCGCGAGGCTCTGCGGCTGCCAACACCTCAAGGCCTTGGGAACAAATCACATGTGCAAATGGTATGTGCTAAATGTGCGAAGTTGTTTCACTGTGTAGGTGCATGTTCCGAACCAACCAATAGGGCTAACCCTTGTGATTGCTTGGAACCCCTCATTCTGCCCATCATCTGTGATCTTCCGGAGTGAAAGCGCTCACCTGCAGTTGCCAGAAAAGCTCCAGAACATATCAATTTCAGGACCAGTCGAAATCGTCGGCTCCCTTGGTACTTCTAAGCTCGGAAATCGGAAGACCCCGGCAAACTTAAAAACAAAGGGAACCCTCTGACTCTGGTCCACAAAAGCAAAAAGAATGCCCCTCCGAGATGTACTTCACCGTGTTGCCAACAGTCTCGGGCGGGTACTGCTGATGCTCGCCTCACGGCCAAAGGCTGTCGCACCTTGGGAACCCTTCCTCCCACCTCACCTGAGGGGTCCCCTCAAGAGCTCATCTTCCAAGTCCCCACCGTCTGAGTGGAAGGGTAAGCCCGGTAAGCCCCATTGGCTTTCTTTGCCACCCCCAACTTTCAGCAGCATCCCCCCCCCCCAATTCCAGGCCCCGCCATGCTCCCCCGCCTCCGAAGCCAGGCGCGTTGGGTGGAGCGTGGTCGCCATAGCCGAAGCTTTGCTTCCTGGAAGCCAAAGCGAGCGTGTGCGGAGTCTCGAGCTTGTAGCGGAAATGGCGAAGATTTCTTTGGGGAAAGACTGCTATAGGTCCTGCACATTCAGGGCACTGGCACACAGCTTTGGCAACCAATTGCCTGGATGTCTTGTTTGCCAACTTGCTCACATTCCCCGATCTCGGCTCCAATACCCGCTCGACCATACCTGCAGGCCTTCTAACAGACCTCACATTAGCCAGACCTCGACCTCACATTGCTGGTTACAAACCACCCTTAGCTTGCTCCCACTGCAATTTGCGGATGTGGTTGGATCCATGGCATTCGCACTCAATCCAACTAAGCCATGCATAACCCCCAAATTTTGGGGAGTACCCTGAAAAGGCCACGCCCATACAAGTCGCGGCAAAAAATGAGTTGCGCCCCAAAATGTTGGTGTGTACCTCCATGTCGCAAGGCCAATCTGGAAAGTTTGTGTGCCTCACGTCATCGTCCTTGCCACAAATGCTGGCAACAACGGACCGGCGCTGAAAATGCATCTTCTCTGCAAAGTCCACAAACATTCCAAAGCCTGAAACTAGAATTGGGTCCCCAAGTAAAACCCTAGTGTACATGAGTCCGAATTTTAAATAGGGACCCTTTGGTGGACTTTGGAGGGGGGTCCAACTCTTACAATTCCTAGCCACATGCTTACTTGCCCAGAGGACCTGGAACTAAAAGGTTAACCTTTTGGGACCTCAACTAAAAATGGACCAAGAAGGGAAAACCAAAAGGTCAAAAGGTCGGCGTTGAACAACTGAGCATGGGGTGCGCTCGTTTGCCCAGTAGCCTCCCGCCCCTCTGGGCGCCTGATGCGCTCGCCATGGCCCACCACCGTCGCCCGCAGAGCGGGCGAGCGCGCGAGCCCCAGGCGGCGCACGGAACGGCTGAGCATCCTGGCAGGGTTTCTGCGCCTCTGGCGCCTAGAAGGCTGGAAACTGTGGTTTCCTCTTCCTGCCTGTTGAGGCGGGCCAAAAACTGAGACAGCTCCAATTGGAAGAGGCCTTTTGGATGGGAACTCAAAAGTAAACGGTGCCCCTGAGAAAAGCCCGAACTCCAGGCAGACCCCACTCGGGCAGCTTCCATCCGGTTGCTCTTGAAGCCACCCAGACGTCCCAAGCTTTCGGAGACGACGAGTGGAAAACACGGTGACCGTTGCGGTCCCTTCGCGTTTCCGCGTGTCATATATTTGCAGTATATTTATCATTGCGATGGGCACATGTTCTATGCACCAGCCGTTGAGTTCTTCGAAGCAGCTGCAAGTCTATCCTTCAGTTGGAGGGGCTTAGGAGACCTTGGGTCTGCTACCACAATCACAGCGATAGGTGGAGCGGTCCCATTTGCACCCATCAGCATATTCACCATCGCCGGTTTTGACTTTGCATATCAGAACTTGGCATCCCTCAAAAAAACGCTCTTGCATCACTCCAAGCCATAAACGCCTTTGGGATCAGGGTGCTCGGCCAAGTAGGTCTTGCGGTCCAGTTGTCGTAGCAAGTAATGCACGCAAGCGGCAAAGTATGATTGGCCATGTCCAGACTGGCACTACGCGGCCGAACAGCTGAACTCACGAAGGATCTCGGGCACGCGACCAAGGCAGCTAAAAGCAGGCCGAGCGACGTGGAAACGCCCGGAGAAACCACGAATAAATTCCACGCGAGAAAGAGGATGAGAGCCCAACATGGGCACCGTCGTATTTTGTTGATCCTTGCCATTTTGTGGGCGCCAAACAACCTTGCTCATGTCCGGGTTTGTCCACGCCCGTCAATGAGCCAGGCACCCACAAAAATACAAATGGCATGTATGTCCATGTTAACGTGATCAAAATCAACGGATACCAACAGATTGCCCGAGGCAACATGGTGTGTAAATGATTCTGGGAACCGTGTAGTTCCCTTGTCCCATATGTTGTTCTGCTTTCCTGCATGAATTCTCACAAAAGGCCAGCAAAGTTGTCGAGAGACAAATTGTGTCCGCAATAGTGGAAATTATGTTTATGCAGTGAGTCTGTGCGGCAATAAACTGACAGCCGGTCAAGAAACGAACAGGGCAAGGCCATGCTTTGCACGCCCATGTCAAACGCACCATGCCAAAAAATATCACAACATCATTGACATCACAACCTAACCGAATCGAGAAACTCGCCGGACACAGATCTCCATGCGGCGAAACACGGTCCGATCGCCTCCAAATGAGGCTCTGCAAGTGCTGCTTCTTGAGCCAGATGCAGCTGCCGGCCGACCCGAATGCCGTGGCCTGGCCTTCACGGTTGCGCTTTCGAGAAGCCTCGAAGAAAGGTCACCAATGTTGGCCTGGTGTTCTTACGGACAGAATAGTTGTGGACAGCATGGGCTGAAAGTGTGAGAAGTTTGGAGCATGAATTATGCGCGCATGCGTTGGTTCTTTTTTGGCGCTGGGGACCAACAGACGGCCGGCTGCTTTGCAGGAGGAATTTCATCCTTGGCTCGTGACGCAAACTGAGACCTGCAAATCACCATTGAGGATTAAAGCATAATCATACCTTGCACGAGGCTACAGAACCAGCAGAGAGCACACTGCTTAGCAGCTCGAAAAGCTCTTGACCCACAATTTGCGCTGAACATCAAGATGGGGACCTTGTTTTTCCAACCCCCAACCTGCTTCTTTGACCCCTTTTCTACCTATTGGCAATCATGGGTCCTGGCTCCCCCCATATTATAGGGATCGACATGTATCAAGTGCAAACATCCCAGTCATTCGCGTCCGTCAGCAAAAGACCGCCATCTCAAGCCTCCGGAGAGCAATGATACTGGAAACAAAACTCCGCCGCCAAGAACGGTGATCAAGCATAGGCTGATCAGCCGAGATGTCAGGATCCGTTCCTCTTCCGCCGTAAGCGCATGTTGCCTTGATGAGTCAGCATAACTTTGAACCTCTGACCGTTTGACCCACTGAAAGTGTTGGAGGGAAACCGGGAAAGCAAAAAGCGTTCTTTCACTCAAACCGGCATGGGAACATAGTAAGCACAACAAGTATCGGCCTTCGCGCATAGCCAACAGGTGAACAATGAAGGTAAGTCGCAAAACATAGGCGAACACTCCGGAAGCGAGAAGGCAAGTCGAGCCCATGGCTGTGAAGACCCCGATGCTCACAATGATCCAGCGCTGGATGGCCCACCAGCGTCTGACACTTGCCTGGCCGGCGTCAAACGCTGCGCTGACCTTGGATTGAGACCCCGACACCAAAGCCTTCCAAAACACATAGACTGTGGAAAAACACAGGGCCTATAAAACAACTAGACGAAGAAAGGCACCCTGCAAAACGAAAGCTTGCAAAAGAGCCGGGTCAAAGCTAGACCTGAGCCAGAAACACCGAGCGCTCAACAAGTCCTGCAAGAAAACCGCGAAACCTGTCCAAGTCATTCAAAATTGGGCGACGTTGGCAAACACAAAGGTGAACAGAACCTGCAGCAGTGCGGAGGCCATGGTGGCGCAGCCCAAGCTCACACAGACCCTGAACCGCTCCCGGAACTCGAGGAGCTGCACGTCTCGACGCTTCAGGACCAGAACCTCGGCGGTCTCTCGCGTGAAACGGCGCCTTTTTTCTCGGGCGACCAAAGAAGCGATCGTTGCTCCGTTTCCCAGTCTCCAGTTGAGTCACTTGCTCAAAACCTGGTATTAAAATGGTCGTAATCCCAGAACCATGTACAGGAGTAAGAAGGCGGCTGCAGCTATTTATGGCTGGGATTGGCCCTTACTAACCTTCATCTACCCAGGTTGTGATTGTGGCTCAGTTGCCAACGGGAAGCTCGAAACGCAACACTCAAAACTGTACCATTGCGCAACTGGGTCGTCCTCTGGCTGGAACTTGGTCATAATGGGCAGCAGTACGGAGAGCAAGAGGCCGTTGACTAGACCCAGCACAGACAGCATCTCTCGCATCTGGTTTTTCGTAGGAGGAGTGTCAAAGAGAAGATCATAAATCACATTCCAAAAAGGAATGCGGTACTGCCAGATAAAATTCTGCTGGTGCGCTTGCTGCGCGTGACCCGAACATGGCCGGGTAGTTTGGCGCAAAGCCTCTTGGTGTGAGCGGGCCAGACTAAAGGACAACATCCCAATGGGGCAGGCACAGCCAAAACAGATTACAAAGACCTGGCTCATCCAATTAAACTCCGACTCCCATGCGTTCGCTTCTGCCTCCGTGCTAGCGTGCTGCAAAATATATGCCAGCCCTGCAGTCCAGTTCAAGAAAATCACGTTGCCAACAACGTACAGCAACATAAGAGCGGCCAGCCAACGTGCCCAGTACCACCAGGCAGTCAGGAGAGTAACGCTGTCCTGCTCGTGATCTACCCCAGTCTTGAAATTGGTCGTCATACCGAATACACCCCACTGCATCCATACCAGGAAAGTCAAGGAACAAAGAATCCAAGAATAATGTGAGCAGGCCTCGAACTTTGAATACGTGCCAGTCCAATTGTGCGCTCGGGCAACTGCTGCATCCTCAAAGTGAAACAAGTGGAACATGTGAAAGGTCACGCCAGCAAAGAGGCCACTCAAAAATCCGAAGAATTCGGAGAGCGCGCCCAACTGCTCCCGCGCTGGCGTCTCATCCCAGAGGAAATCAAAAAGTAAATTGAGTATTGGGACCCTGTAAAGCCATTGGCAAGTTACCTCTTGTCTCGACACCCTGCCTGGCCTCAGGTTCGATCTTGCGCGCTCCTTGCTCAGAAGGGCGAGAGACAAGACAACAAGACTCCCAGCACTGCCCCACGCTGCGAGGAAAACGTCTGAAATATTCTCTTGCCAACCCCACAGCGCCAGTCCCTCTTCTTCATTTTCCATGTGCTGCACGTTGTAAATGCGTGTTGCTGCCATGAATACTAGAAAGCCGCCGTAGTAAAGGCCTAACAACAGCAGCAACACGCTGAGGCGACTCCACGACCACCAGCTCTGGAAGGCGCCGCTGATCTTTCCGCTCGTTTTGAAGTCGGTCCTGACTACTGCCAAGTAGTTGAGGAAGCCACTGCCAAGGGAACCTGTTAGAAGAGCAAACCCCAAACTACTCTGCTGCTCGTACTCAAAGTAGGAATTGTCCCAATTGCGCCCGCGCGCGTTTTCGGACTCTTCGTGGTTGAAGAGAATCAAGAAACTGGCACTGGCGCTCAAAAGCAGTGCTACGCTCACTGTCACGGTCTCCACCAACGAGTTCACTTGCTCCCGGTCGGGCTGGCCAACGACGAAGAAGTCATAAAATAGGTTCACCCCAGGTATGAAGTAGATGTAATGCCCGACTTCACGATTGCAACGGTGGGCTGCACCTTCCGTAGAATCCGTGGAACGCGTCGCTTCCAACAACCTCCAACGTCGCCATGAGGCAGCGGACAACAGCATCAGTGTCAAACATGCACCAAGGGCCAGGATGATTCCATAATTCCTCATTTGTCAAAACAGAGAATCGTAGGCGCTGCCTTCTGGAAATGCCCAAACCAAACATCAAACCAAGCGCTGCAAAAGCTGCAAACCAACACGGCCCTGACCAAATATTGCCGTAAAAGAACAATCAAAAGGGAAACCGCATTCGGCCATCCAGGGTGGCTGAAATCAACACAGCTGGCCTTTTGAGAACAACCTGTCAAACCTGGAGTCCACACTTTTGCCAAACCTGGAAGTCAAAGGCCCAGCCACAGCAGCCCAAATCAGCAAATTGGAAGTTGGGAAGCCTTGTTCTACCAAGTCGCTGCTCGTCTTGCTTTTGACTCAGCACCTTGGCCTCCAGCTCGCTTTGCGCGTGCTGAAGCTTCTTGACCCTCAGCGCTGCCATATTCAGGAACGCGCCGCCTACCTGGATGGTGCCCGGGCAAAAAAAAACACCACAATTGGAGCGAGGAGCGAGGCTCCCCTAGAAGATCATTCATGCACTTGCTTCATCTTAGACGCCAGTAAAAATACGAGTCAAACACATCTGAACTCTACCGTGGTAATTGTCTGCTCATCCGACCCCAACATTTACTGCCCAAAATAAAAGCCCAAACAACATGTAAGTGACTGGCTGCAACAACACAACTGATTTAGCACCACAACTCATAACAGTACTAAACACCTTGCAAACAAATTCGACTGTGGACAGGTGACATAGCACATACGAGACAACCGAAACACAAAGTCAAGTGAAAAGAGAATCGATTCCAAACGAGCGACACTGGCGCAAAGGCCGATAAGCAGAAAGTTCCACCGGCTCACCTCCCACCAAGCCGCCAGCGGAGCCTTGCGCAAGGTCTCCACATCCTGGCTGAACTGACCCAAACATGACTATGCAGAATGAAGGAGAGCCTGGGAATGTTCTTGGGGGGTGCTCCCTTTGGTGGCTTTGATTGAAGAGAACCACCAAGGACCCCCCGCCAGTTTGGGGCGCTACCATTTAGAGACGAATCCAAATGCCAACAGCAAGTAAGGGTCCATGAAACAAGCAAAAGTGTTGTGAATTTTCCTCTACACGCAAAGCAGTAGAATCGCTCTCAAGTTTACCCACTGAGCAGGCGAGCGTCTATAACATCTCCCCTGACCTTCTCAGGCGCTTGACTAGCCGCTGGAGACATTCCTTGCTGGTGATGAAGCCACACGGGAGCCTTCAGGGTTCCCCCTTAGCCCTTACACGAGGTTGAGTCGTCGCGTCTGACCCCGCCGTTTTTGACCTTGCAGCATGCTGCCACCAAATGAAAACATGGACAAAACCCGCATTTCGAAGCCTTGCTTGATAAATCGGGAAAGCAACTGTGCTGTGTGTACCAAGACTTTGATGCTTTTGGGGATTTGTACCAGTGGAATTTCGACATCACACAGCTAACCCCGCCAAGTTCTTCCCATTTTTCGGATCACATGTTCCGTGTGCTGCGCCCCGGCCATGTGCTGCGGTAGTAGGTAGTTATGTTAACACTCCAAAAAAGTTCAGCCAAAAAAGTCGTCAAGGCGTAGCAGGTTTGCTTGCACTCTTGATCTGGCAATCTGACCATGCGCTGGTTTTCCTATGGTTTTGCCACCGCAGAAGGCCGGGGCGCGGGTGGAGTGGGGGGGAAATAACTTGAAACAAGCGCACACAAGTAAATATTATCATGCCCCCCGCCCACCCACCCCCACCCACCAACTACCCGTGATTTATCCAAGTTCCACCTCTTCCGTCCCCAGTTTAACCAAGTGTCTCTTCTCTAGAGTCAATAAACCATTTGAGTTTGAATGATTCTCGTGGGCACCAAGTCAACCCCTAGGCGCCTCTTTCCCCGTGTCCAGCCAAAGTTCGGAATCTGCGCTGATCTGGCCCTCGATCCCGGCAACAGCAGCGGGCGACAGGCCGCTCGTGCTGCACCCTGCCCTTTCCGACCCGCGCGTCCCGACCTCATCTGTGGTGCTAAGTTCGTGGCTCGCGCCTATGATTTGATGGCACTCTGCATTCACTTGAGGATCCTCAACGCCATTTTTGCAGTCCAGGTCTTTGTGCTCTTTGAAGCCGACGACGACTTCAAAGCGGGTCTTCGACGTAAACACAAGAACGAGCAAAAGCTGCAAGAATGCCGCTGAAATGAAGGCAAAGCCTTTAATGGCGCAGCTCTGAAACTCTGTGTAAGAGCCATCCCAGTTGTTCTCTCTTGCAGTTGCAGCCTTGTCAAACTGAAATGCCTGCACCACTGGCAGAGCAATCGACACAAGCAAGCTGAGAAGGACACTCAGCATCTTCATGATTGCTTTGATCTGCGATAGCTCTGGCACCTCATTGAACAGCATGTCACCAGCAACATTCAGCAGCGGAATGTGTGGGAACATCCTTCGCGTTGAACGAGGCCTGCACTCCGTGGCCTGACTTGCTGACACGATTTGGCCCAAAGAGCACAAGACGAAGGTGAACCTGGTCACAAGAAGGAGGTCAAGGTACCACTCCATTTTTGACAAAGATGAACGGGGAACCTCTTCAAGTCACCTTCACCATGGCACCCCTCTGGAAACCCTGTCATCAGTGGGAGGGAGGGCAAACCACTTCAGGCTTCGGCGGCCTCCTGCAATGCCTTCTGCTTGCGCAAGAGCGCCAAAGACTGGATGGCCAGAGGCAGCAAAAGCCCCAGCAGCACCCACAAAAAGTAGCACCAGTTGAAAGCCTCCCTCAGCGCCACAGCCTCCTCTTCCTTTGCCCATTGGCCCCGCCCGGCTTTTAAATTAAAAGCAAAAAAGAACGAAACACATGTTCAACTACTGGAGGGGGATCAACTGCAAAAGCTAGGCTTCTGTCACTGCGTGCTGTAGGATGAAGGCATGCTCCACCGTAAAGAAAAGACTGAAGCTTCCCAGCAGGGTGCACAGAAAAATCGACACAAGGTTCCAACGATTGAAAGTCCACCAGGCCTTGTACGCCCTCACCAACTGTCCTTGGGACCCCTTAAAATCCGTAGCCCTTGTCAGCAAGTAGACCAGAACTGTTTGGAACAAGGCCGTGCAACTAAATATCAGAGCTGCAAATATGCACGCCTCGTAGGCATTGTAACTGCCTGTCCAATTTCGGGCCTTGGCCACCTCAACTGTGTACGGCTGGAAAAGAGTGAGGACAGGGAAAAGGGATACCAACAGCAAGCCGCTGATTAGCGTGTAGGTCTCCATGATTTCCTTAAGCTGCCCCGTCTCGGGCGCATGCAAGAAGGAATCATACCTGAACCAAATGAAAGGGACCTGCAAAACGAACACATGTTTTGCCTGAAAATACGTAAGCTCACAACGGTGAAAAGGCAAAACAACAACGACGAAGTCTGAGCTGTCGCTTTTTGCTGGTCAATGATACAATTATGGAAGTGCGCCCGAAAGTCAAAAGGGCAAAACAAGGTTGGGAAAGTGGACTTAATCTGAACAAGATACATCAAATTCAGTACTGGCCAGTAGTAGATCCAGGCAATCTGATCACCCGCATGTCCGTCGTCCATGCGAAGATTCGCATCAGTGTCGATCTGCTCAGGCTCAGTCGTGACTGTTCCATTGTCTTCCATGGCGATGGCCTGTGAAAAACTGAGACTACCTCATACCCCGCTCATGAAATAGAAACAACTGTTCTTGCAGAACACGTTCTTTGCAAAGAAGCATCTTCCATGCTGTGCTTGTTTGGAAACTGCAATGCAACGTGTGCAACCATGTTGCCAAATCAGATCTCTAAAACATAATCACTGCGAGTTTATGGCTAAACTCAGGCAAGCAGGCGAGCATTGTTCATGTCTCAAATCAACCCTTTGCAAGCTCTACCATCTGCGTGAGCCCCGTATTTGGTTTGAAAGGCGAAATTCACGTTTAGAAGGCCATTTTTGCGCCACGTCAATACTTGTGACCACACATCCCGCAGCGTCTGAAGCGCAATACAAACCAATCATGGGGGCACCATTGCATGACAGGCCCTTGTAGTAAAACCAGAAAGAAACTCTCATCAGCCAGCCAAGGGGGAACGGAAAGCATTTAGCCTGGTACCGAAGCGTGGTTGGGGTGGTGCCAGCAGCGGTTTGCGTCGGTTCCCTGTCAATCTTTTTAAAAGAGAAAGCTTGAGATTCGAGCGTTCGTCCGTATTGCTACAAGCCAACCGCGGTCTTTTACGCAGAGAGTGGAAGGAAAAAGAACCGCTCGGCAGAAGCGGACCGCTGGTGGAGTCGTTGTCCGCATCAGGGCATCTTGGAAAGCCTGACAAAGCACTGAGAAAAGAAGCTCAACGGAGGTGGAGACATTGCAGTCGGACAGCACCACAGCTCTCGCTCTCATGCAGCGACGTCAATGATGTATGTCTTGGGCGCAGAGAAGGCGCACTGGCACGATTGGGTTTTCAAACTGCCAAGAGGGCGGGCCACAAGTTGAGCCCTTGATAGCGTTCTAGGGTCCTGACGCGCTCAGGAGATGTTGATTTGTGTCACTTTACGGAGCAAAAGAGCGTAGAGGGACATGTAATAGTCCCCGTTTGCACCTCCGAATTTCATTGTGTGGCACAGGTGCGTTGCATCCTGCGTACGGCCCCAAATTACCTTTGAAGAAAGATATCTGGGGCCCTAAGGTGTTTTACGCCCCAAGCTGAAGCAAAAAGGCGCCAAAAAAAACAAAACGTGAAGCCAAGCGTCACATGAGTGATCCGTGGCTCTGGTTGCACGTCCGTTCGTGTGCGGGTGTTTTCCAATGCAAAGAAGCTGGAAGGCCACGCAAAGCTAAAGCTCTGTAAGCTCAAAACTCCGCCCAGAAGGCAGTGGTACAGTGCACAATGTAGTTATTGAAATGGAGCAACCCGTCGTACAAAATCCAATACAGAAACAACTCTGTAAAAAGTAAGGTGGAGAAAAAGCCAGTGGAGAAGAGAATGGCAGCGCCGCCCGAAAGACCCTGACAAGAAAGGATTGCCGGAACATGGGCACAGAGGACCCTGGAAAACAATTGCATAACCGCACACGGTGCTGCGTGTGTGTCCATCGGGCTTTCTCGAGGAAAACCGGGCCCCGCAGCCAGCTGTAATCGGCAAGGCAGGTTTGACCAGTGTCAAGTCAAAAGAAGTAAAGATTGAGCAATTGTACGTGGGACGACAGTCCAACTAGGATCGTCCGTGGGCTGTAAGCTCCGGCAGAAAAGGCCCAAGCTTTGTTGACGGCAAGAAGGTTTTGTTCTCAACTTGCGCAAGCCACTTGGGGCAAAAGTCCAAACTAATGGCCGCCCCACAAGGTGCGGCCCAATTGTTTTTTTGCCCCGAGGCAGCGGTCAGTGTCAATCACGCGTCTGCATCTAGAACAGTGTTAAAAGGAGTCGGTAAAGCACGGCTTGATTGCAGAGCTAGTCACCTCCTTGCGCCAAAGGTTGCCATCTTTTATGGTCGTGTTGGTGACGAGGGCTGTCAATCAGACAAGACACTAGCAACAATCCCATGCGCAAGTTGTCCAAAGTCTTCCTAAGCCTTTGTGCCAGCAGATCCCCCACATGCCCTGTCAGGCAATTTCGCTCGGACCTTTTTTAAATTGGAGACTGAAAAAAACGATGAAACCCGCAGGCCAGAAGCCCAAATACGTGGCGTTTCGGCGACGCGCGCTCCAATGCTAAGGGAGGCAACTGGAGCCGTTGGTTTGGCACAGCGATGCCCCAAACGGCAGCTGCGTCGACACAAAATGGATGCCAAAGGCAAGCTGCTTGCCCACACGCGCTTTTGAAACGCGGGCGTGCTTGGCTGGGCGCAGCTTGTGGCTGATGAGCGCACCGCGCTGGAGCGGCTGGTTGCCGATGGACTCTCGCTACAGATCTTTTTATTGCACCTGGGAGGGTTCTGACATAACGACCCCTAGATATGCTTGCAATTTTGCCTCCAAGTTCAAATCCAGAGAAAAAAACAAAAAACGGTCCAAAAAAAGGGGCCCAAAAAGAAGGGAAAGGGGTTGCCTTTTTGGCAAACCGACCTTGCTAAAATGCAAAATTGCAGCGCATCTAGGGCCGTTGTTGCAAACAAGCCTGCACACACATTTTATCTCGAAGGCAGAACAAGGTTGTTTTGCTGGACGGAGACCTCTCATGAAATCCGTTTGGGGAGTGGTCTCCAAGAGAGCCCTTGTCAAAATTGATCCGTTGTTGACCTTCCGTCGATTTAGCTTAATATTGACTCACACACAAAGGCCAAGCATCGAAACCTCAACGCCAGCCGCCAAGCGCTCCGATCATGGAGAAGTCGCTGGAGGAAGTCCGTCGGCAGAACTTGCTCTGGAAGTCCGTGGACGGGTACGACCTGGGCGCCGACATCCACACGAAGCTCGACGAGCTTAGTGACCTCATCCCGGAACTGGGGGTACTGCACGCGTGGACCCAGGACGACTGGGCGTCGACGATTTACGAACTCATGCTCCTGGCCAAGGGCATTTTCGGGCTGAAACAGGCCGCAGCACTGTGGACGCGCGGTGTGGGCCGGAACGGCAAGGACACTCTGTGCAATCTGATGGGCGGAGCTTGCGGAGTCGGGGCCGTTTCAGTACGCGGTTCTTCGAGCAGTCCTCGGCAACCAGAGCTTTTACCGTTTCTCGATGCTGCCACCGTAGAGGAGCCGGTAAAGCTCTTTTGCAGCAGCCCGGTCGGGATGCGTCTTTGCCAGCACAGCGTCCCGCTCTGCCACGAAGTTCTTCAAAAATGCGGAATTGTGTCGGGCCGCGATAAGTGAGGAAGCTCCCCTCCTCCTCCTCCACCTTGACCTCCGTCTGCTCCTCCGTCTGCTCCTGGGCTCCGTCTGCTCCGGCTGGCTCATGGGCTCCCGTCTGCTCCATCGGCCGGCTCACCGTCTCGGCGTTCTTGTTCTGCAGGAAGACCTGATAAGCTGCCCGGTCTTTGAGAAAGTCGATGACTACGTGCCGCCGCCGCCCCTTAACGGTTGTGCCTTCTTCGCCGGTCTGTCCTCGTCCGTTCTGGGCGTCTGGCAGGCCGCAGATGCCTCGACGGCGACGAGACACGGTGCAAAATCCTTTTTTGCGACGGCACACTCTACAATTTTAAGGAGGTCTGCAAGGCCAGCGAGAACGGCAAACAGGGAGCACCTGAGACACCTAAACCACGAACATCAAACGTGTCTCAGACCTGTCCTAGCAATAACAGCCAGCCGAAGATTGAGACACCTGAGACACGCCTTCTTACCCCTGTCCCAGCCAACTGCCTTCGACTGGATGTGGTCTGCCTAAAGTGATCCGAGGTTAAAGCCCCAACTCTCTCTTTAGATGGGGTTTCCCAAATGGGTTCTATTCCACCTGGTAGGCTCCTGGCACTCGTCCGTCCAGGAAACGACCTCGTCCTGCGAAGGATTCGAAACCTAAAACGCTGCGTGCAGGCGTGTGGCTGCAACATAACGACCCCTAGATATGCTTGCAACATGCCCCGCAGCTGCGTTTCTGCAAGGCGAGCTAAAAAAAACAGGGAGAAAAAAAAGAAAGCCAGCCAAACCAGCAGCCAGCCAGAAAGCCAGCCAAACCCAGCCAGAAGCCAACCAAACCTCTTTTTTTGATAGTGAGAAGCCAGCCAAAAGCCAGCCAAAACCCAGCCAGAAGCCAGCCAAGCCCAGCCAGAAGCCAGCCAAAAAGCCAGCCAGGGTTTCCTTTGGGTTTCAAATCCTGAAGAGAGAGGTGCGATGTTCTATGTTCGCGCTTTCGCGCGGCGCAGTCTGCAGCGGTCGCTGCAGTCGCTGCGCACTTCGCGCAGTTCGCGCAGTTCGCGCAGTTCGCGGCTCCGGGCTGCGCATTCTTGATCCAATGTTGCGCCATCGTTCCTTCAAGACAATTCAAATTTGCCTCAAGAATGTCATGCCTGGCATCGAAGCCTCCGCTGCCGCGCCACCTGCCCGGCATCAAGGCCACGCCAGCCTGCCGAGTCATACGGATCATACGGATCATACGGTCATACGGTGGCAGCTTGGGGTGCGCCGCGTATCAAAGCCTCCGCTGCCGCGCCACCTGCCCTGCCCGGCATCCAAGCCACCCTGCCGCGCCACCTGCTCGGCATTGAAGCCTCCCCGGCATCAAGCCACTGCCGCGCCGCCGCATCGAAGCCTCCCTGCCTGCCGAGCCACACGCCAAGCCGCCCAGGTCCTTGCTATATGTCCTATATGTGCTATCTGGTATCGAAGCCCGGTATCGAAGCCTCCTGCCCGGCGTCAAAGCCTCCTGCCCGGCATCAAAGCCACGCCAACCCGCCGAACCCCCACAGTCCCCCGGCTCCTTGCTATATGTGCTATATGTGCTATATGGGTCTTACACGCCAAGCCGCTGAACCCCCACACTCTCCGGGCTCCTTGCTATATGTACTATATGTCCTATATGGCTCTCACACGCCAAGCCGCCGAACCCCCACAGTCTCCGGGGTTGTAAGAGGCACTTTACGCTATCCAGACGCGCGTTAAATACACTTTATGTGCTAGATGCTATGTGTATAGTATACAGCTCTGCGGGTTGCCTTGTGAGACCCATATAGCACATATAGCACATATAGCAAGGACCCGGGGGAGAGCGGAGGT